TCAATTTTTATTATGTCTTCTATCATTATTGTGTCTTCTCTCTCTCTCTCTCTCTCTCACACACACACACACACACATACACACACACACACGCGGGCACACACACACACAGGCACACACACAGACACACTCTGCCTCTCAAGTTTGAAATGAAAAAGGAAATTTTTTTTTAAAATTCTCGTTTTGGTGAGATATTGATCTCAACCCTTGGTTCTTTAAATAAGACAGGTGTCGCGCCACCATCATTTGACTTCACCTAATCACTTTACAGTTTCACTCTAAAGGATCCAGACGCTGCTAACTGCAGTCAGCCAAGTAGCACAAGTTTAAAAACGATGTTAACAGTTCCATTATAGAGTATTTTGAGCCTTTTACTAGCTAAATATTTTACAGTGACACTAACACATTCACTAATGGATCCATTGTTGATGCTCTAAGGTAACTTCTGTTGAATGTCCGTTAACAATGGCCTCCCGTTAAATTAGAGGCTAATGACTTGGGAATCCTTTGAAAAATGAATGAGATTGCATGGGATTATTAGCTTGGAGCACCAAATGCGACATGGACTTATACTAACATGAGAGAGCCTCAGCCACACTCACATAAGAGGCCGATGGATGAAAATGAAGTGCCTCGAAATGCGTGCACCCGGGCACGCAAACCGAGGCAATGGCATACGCAATGCAATATGGCTAAAATGGCATATAAAATGCAATATGGACTTATACTAACATGAGAGAGCCTCAGCCACACTCACATAACAAGCTGATGGATGAAAATGTAGTGCCTCGAAATGCGTGCACCCGGGCACGCAAACCGAGGCAATGGCATACGCAATGCAATATGGCTAAAATGGCATATAAAATGCAATATGGACTTATACTAACATGAGAGAGCCTCAGCCACACTCACATAACAAGCTGATGGATGAAAATGTAGTGCCTCGAAATGCGTGCACCCGGGCACGCAAACCGAGGCAATGGCATACGCAATGCAATATGGCTAAAATGGCATATAAAATGCAATATGGACTTATACTAACATGAGAGAGCCTCAGCCACACTCACATAACAAGCTGATGGATGAAAATGTAGTGCCTCGAAATGCGTGCACCCGGGCACGCAAACCGAGGCAATGGCATACGCAATGCAATATGGCTAAAATGGCATATAAAATGCAA